TGTACGTATACCAACTTGCGAACTTCGGAATCGTATCGGCGGCATACCATCAGCACGTGTCCGCGTCGTAACGTTCATCTTGAATGCATCTTGAATGCATCTCGGTGCACGAGCTGGCGGGAGGATAAGGGCGCGTCGCGGTCTTGTCTGATGCGATGCGGTCTGCCGCGAATGCCGCGACGCGGAGCTTGGAAGTTATCGGGATAGCGAAAGGTAGGATGGAGGATGTGCAATCGCGCTCTATTTATTTGGGATTTATTTTTTTACGCGCGTATAATCGTATCTTCTAGGAATAGCGTTCGGGGAGACGCTGTTAGCACCATTTGTGTTGTTTCTACCGTTATCGTTTATTGGATGTAAAACAAGGATAAAATGACACAAATTGCGCTAATAGCGTCTCACTGAACGCACCTCCAGTTATTGACCGATTTACCAGTCAGAAACTTATGTTAAATAAACTCCGGAAAGAGACTAGAGAGAAATAAGATTAAATTTGGCAATGTGGTTGAACGGCTTCACTTGGGTTCGTTTCTAGGTGCGTAGAATTTACAGTTTCCTTCAATTTGCTCGCAAAAAGTGCTCATAAAAAATTATTTATCACGCATTATCGCAAACACAGATCTATCACTTTATCACTTAGTGAATTTGATAATCTGTGAAAATTGTAATGGTTTCAATTACCGCTAAAATACCTATATTCTTACGGTAGACTAGGAGCAAGTAAAAGGTAATTGACGTAAGCGCTTTGCGGTCGGTATAATAAGAGTGTTACGTCAAGTTCTGATACAACATTTATAAACGTGGTTCTTCGCACGAAGCAATTTACAGTATATATATATATATTGACGTTTTATTATTTTTTTTGGCTTAATTGTGTCACATAAAGAATAACAGATAGTAGTAAATGATGTAGCGTTATATACAGAATTATAGTGATATATACATTTCTTTTTTATTTAATTGTCGGAAAAAGTAACAGGTGGACGAAATATATGCGCACAATTACTTGCTCAAGTTAATAGACGCTCCAGTTTAAGAAGGTGTTTACGTAATTCGTAATTAAGTCGGCGCAAAATACAGATCGCTTATCTTGTTACGCTTGATCATTGACATTACATCGCGCACTTAGATTGCGTTACACGATGACGTCGCGTTGAACGCTAGTATTATATAGCTCTTATGCAATTGTGAAAATTTCACTTTTCTCGATGCAATATGTCTGCATGCGAGCGACCATGTTTTCTCGCGATATTATATGTATATTACAGAGATTGGAATAATTTTTCGCAAACATTTTCCCATTCTCTTTTTCCCTTCTTCTCCTTTCTCTCTCTCTCTCTCTCTCTCTCTCTCTCTCTCTCTTTCTTTGCCTGTCTCTTTTTTCCTCCTTTCGACATAGTTCTATCTTCTTTGACTTGGCATTGCTTCACAAGCTTGCCCAACAATTTTATCAAGATAAGTCTAGTAATCACTTTCAACACAAGGACATTCGCGTAATTTCAACAGAATGAGTAAAACAAAAAGATAGAGAGAGATAAACCATGAATTTTAAGAGGAAAGAGTATATCTCTCTTACGAATTCGCGAGACATCATTAAATTTATTATAGACGTCGTATGATAACTTTTTTAGACATCGCGTTCTCTATTATCAATTTATCTACTTGTTAGTTGCATTTTTTAAATTGATACTAAAAAAATCAGTACACTCTGAAAAAATGTATATTAAATGTTTTAATAAATTTGTTGGAATAGTACTAACTAAACGTTTACTGAATATAAATGTAAACATATATTTATTTGTACACAGGAACCGATAATATTAGCCAGTAGTAATAAAAAAAAACGTATTAAGATTTAGTAAACTTTTTTAATATAGATTTTCTTATTATTTCTTAAAAAAGAGTTTAGAACAAGTTATTATTTCGAATGTTTTGTTAAATAATTTTAATACCATTATGCAATTATTTCGAGTACTCGCAAAACTGTTGCATAATTAGCAATCGAAGTAGTGCATGACTGACTATTAGTGACTGACGTAACATTCGGTACATCATTTTCTGCCACATATTTGACTAGATAATTCAGCAATATATGTGAGGTGACAATTGCATTTTAATTCGACAAATATACTGAGAGATAATTCAAATTAATTACTATTTCAGTACGAAAACATCTCGACATCAATTATATAACAATTAATTATGTGTTTGAATTATCATATATAAACCGTGTTTCGATATACAATACTAAAAATCTATAATTCACGTAAATATAAAAAAAACAAATACATATATTACAACTTTTCAGTATCGGCAGTGTATATTGGAATATAATAGTGATGAAAGATAACGTAGTTTTCTTTAAGACAATATATGATATATCACAAAAGAAAAAAGAGCGTGGAATATAATTTCAAAAGATTTTTCTTTGTTTTCAGCGCATCCCTCGGAATGCACCCACCAAATGAAAGACCGAGCATGATTGGGAAGTATTTTACCTTCATAAAACCGGATAGCTCGGAATACTCACGAGTACTTTGCTCCCACTCGTGTTTTTATACTCGTGTGCTCGACCTTTTGACCGGCGGGGGATCATAATGCTAGAGCCGGTTCTGGGAACTTTGTCGATCTGGTGGTTGGTGGTATACGCCAACATTTTGCTGCTGCTGTCGCCGTTGGTGCTACTGATGATTTTCTTCCTACCGAATTTCCCGATCTTGTTGCTGCGACGAATCTGTTACATACCGATTGAGTCGATCTGACCAAAATTAAATCGTCGATTGATTTATCGATCGGCGATTTATCGGATACTCACTTTTGATGTGCGATCGCGAATGCGATTGTTATATTATCTTTGTCGTGGCGCGTAACTAAAACAGTTTATAATGTAACGCGTATATAGTATAAATTTAAACACAATGAAAAGCATAGGCAATAGCAAGGAAATAACAGATTTTAACGTACATTCTGTATACATAGTTTCTGTTAGGTTGAAATCTGTTATTTTCTGTATTGAAAAAAAATTACAAAATTATATCAAAATGACAAAAAATCTTAGTACATATTTCTTTGAATAATACCGAGGAAACATTTATTTTGTACAATAAAAAATTTATAATTAAATCAAATTAATGGTTTTTGTATCAAATAAAGAAATATATATGTTTACATTTATAAATATTTAAAATTATTTCAACAAATATTTATTAAAATTTAGCATTTTTTTCCTTTTGCCTGTATTTTTCATTGCGTTTAAGATTTAATTGCACGATTAAAAAACACAGGCAATAGGAACAGGAAATAAAGACTTATTAAAAACTGTGTATATCAGAATACATAACATTATTTTACCTGTGTGTTTTCATTATGTTAAGGTTTTAGGCATAATTGCATGTCACTCGAGAATAATCAAAAAGAATGCTCGAGCAATCGCGAATTTTGGCGGCTTAAGATTTTAATTGCTCACGTAGTTTTAAGTATTTATGCGCTCTAGATTGTTAAAAATTCATAATAGCAATGCGCTTATATGTAAGTGTGGACCGAGTTGAAGGTTTGGTTTTTGCTATAGCCTATGACTATAGTCATCAGATATATTGACATAGGTACGTATCACGAAGCGACCAAATGCATCTTCGTCAAACAAAGACTAATGCGAGGCGACACGATTACGCGAGGAATTCGCACGTTGTTTACGCTTCTACGCATATACGTTGATATTCAAACGCGTTGACTTACCAAGTCATGCACGATGAATTTTAACGAGACGCTTTTCTTGCTTTGCACGCCGTGTGTAAAAACGGCCGATTACGTGTATATGTTGAATTTTGAATGTTATAGCGCGATTTACGTAAAAATTCCGTCGCAAGCCCGTTCTTATCAGCATTTTATTATTCGTCTTTCACGAACTTGTATGACATATATTAATAATTATAACGATAAACACGAAAACAAATAACGCCGATAACAAATAAGAAAAATCAGAATTATAAAATTTTTTACTTTGAATACACGCACACGCGCGCTTATAATTTTTATACGTATGTTATCTATTCGAAAGTTTCCCAAAAGAAACTAAATTTTATTCAAATAGAATTTATTAGTAATGATCGCGCTTAGTAATTATTGTAAACAGTATTGTAAACAGTATACAAAGCTACGATAACGATAACATTTCGTTTAATAAATTGATATCATGCGCTGTGCAAAAAGAAATATAATTATTATATATTTTTAAACATAATATATACTTTTTACCATTTCCGTATGTGTCACTTTCAAGAACAAGTACATGTAGTAATTATTATAATGGCCTGTAATTAGAAGGAATTGAGAGACCAAGGTGAACTAGTTTGTCCGACGGACGAAATCGACGCATTATTATCGAGTTATTTATGAACTGACGGCGCAGAAAAAACGGATTATTGTCATTTTATTTTCTGATTAAATACCTTGCAGATAACAGCTGGAAAGAATAAGACTCAGTATTCGTTAATAAGTCAGAAATGATTGACAACGGTCTACACATATATAAATGTAGAGTCTTATTTTTTTTACTCATTCTTGCATAAACTTGATCATAAATGTTATAGCGATAAGTGTATTAAGTATACAAAGAATCTCGAAAATTTGACATAAAATTTAATATAAATAATTATTAAAACATAAAATTAAAATTCTGTTTGATCTTTTTTACATAATCCGTGTAGCGGCAGAATCTGGATTTTAAAGATATTAAATATATAGCATACATTTGACGCAATTATATTAGGTGTTGGAATTAATTCGTAGCGTTTTAAATGAAAGAATGTTATTTATTTCACATGAGCATTAAAAAATACATTAATGAAAGTACTTCCCATCACTTGTAAAACGCTACGAATTAATTCCAACACCTAATATAAAAGTGGCATGTCTGCTATTTAGATTAAATTATCTTGAGCATGTACACCAACGTTTCAAAAGCGGTTTTCTCGAAAACATGCGTCATCCCAGGGATCGTTCGCTCGCTCGAGTTATGCTACACTCGATCGCATCGGTGAAAGAGACGCATTGCAAACGGCTGTCCTTCTACAGTTCGCTGATATAGGCTGGTTCGAAGTTGGACGTTATAGTAGCGATCGGAAAGTACTTTCGCCGAGAGTCACTCGTAGTGGGGGAGGCAGGACTTGAACCCTGGAACCCTATGGGCCATATATACTACGGGCCCATACAGAGCTCTTACTACTTGTGGTGTCAGCTTGTCGCGGATTCTCCGCTGTACAGGAAACGCACAGGAGACAGAAGTTGATAAGAGTGACGCGAAGGTGAGTACACGAAATTACGGGTAATACGCCCCTCCGCTAACAATAATTCTGATAGGACCAAGGACGAGCTGATTCGACAAGGTGAACGTGACAGTGATATCTGTTGGAGGTAGGAAGTGATACGTGCAAATGACACCGTGAAGCTGTGAATGCTGATGAGGTGATTCACCGATGCAATGCCATGTACATATTTCCGTGATCTTATTTATTCGCTGACAAGCTCACCTTGTGAAACTTACGTTGTCTGACAGGCTTTAGCCGTACCTTTCAACCCTTTCTGCCTGGCGTCTGTGTTTCCTATTGATTATACGTAGAAAGAATATTCTCGGTATATTGATCTAAAAATTGCATACTTTTAATATAACAAAAAATTTGTGAATGTAAAATTAAATAATTTTTTTTTGTAATAAAGACGAAGGTATTCGTAATCGATTTTTATTTTAAGATCGTCTTATATTTAAAACAGTCTTAATATGTCACGAATCAATTAGAGAGCATCTTAAGACATTACTTAAGATGGTCTTGAAATAAGAATGGACTGTGAATACCGACCAACGATTGATATTTAAGACAGACTTAAATATAAGAATCGACTATAAATATCGGCCAAAAAAATTGAAAGTTCGGTGTGTCGGTTCTTTATTGTAATTTTGTTTACATAGTAATATTTATATTTTTCACTAAAAATCTATATTGTTGATAACAGATAAGATACAACAGATTGAGATTAAATCAACAAACATTATTTGTTAAGCCGTTCTGCGGCTTCGTAACATTTTACCAGCTATATTGCTCTGGGAGTTTGAACTTCAAACACGATAGGAATTCAAATGCAATAATTCAATCTCGAGTACACGCCTATGAGCATAGCCGGGGCAACATTCCGTGCACGTGGCTCTCGAATCATTTGTATGCAGTGTTTTGCGCGCTCACATGCGAGGCACTTGCGCCACTGGTATCAGTTACTTTTCCAGAAACAAGAATAGTGTCATTATTTCCACAGAAATATTCCCATTTTCTTTCTTATTTGTCATTTCGAATATTTTCGATCCTTTCCTTATTAGGAAGAACAATACACACTATTATATATAATAATCATATAAAACATATTTATTATGTTGTAACCTAACCTAACCTAACCTAACCTTAGGTGAAATTGATTGAATCCTTCTGCAATTATTTTTTATACGTAATTAAAAATCTTTATTATAACGAAAAAAAAAAATAAAGGAGAATGTTAAAAAGAAGCCAATTTCTGCCTGGGGAAAAAAAGATGAAGGTTTTGAGGAATACTTTGAAAATTGAGTATGAATATGGTATATTTATCCAAATTTCAATATTCTTATTTAATTTTCAATGTGCTCCCCAAATGCCATGAATTTTTTAATAATTTATCGTATCCAGGAAGTCAAAATCTATAAAAAAATATTATTCTTTTATTTATATCTTTTAGAGCATGACCCCTTTTTAATATCCTCCTTTATTAAAAATTAAAGAAAAACTAAAAGATTAATGGAAAAGTATTTTTTCTAGATGAAGCTGCTAATTTTGTGCACATTAACTACCGTCGCTTTTGCCGCACCTCCTCAAGGGTCGCGACGGGGTCTCCTCAAGATACCGAGGGTGTATAATGCCGTGATTACGAGCAATCAGAATCTATTGCCGTCGCGAGCATTCCCTGTGATACAACCGGTCTTCCATCGAACCGCCATCGGCTACGTGCCACCGTTCTATTATACACAGATAGCACCTCATTTTGTCGGGCCAGAAGTGGTGCATTATCCGCTGCTCGCCGATGGTAAAGCGGTCAGAAACGACCAAGCGCAGGTCTCTTCCTCAACGTCGCGTCTAGCCGAGTCGACGAGCTTCGGTATCGCAAAAGAACATGAAGACACCGATATCACCGAACGTGAGAAGGAAAACAATCCGAAAAAAGGCGATACGAAGGACGAGCAGGAGCCATTGACCTTTTATCCGAACTATCGTTCCTTTTACGAGCCGTACATCTATACGTACAATGGCTTCAACCCACATCTCGTACCTGGCACTTACTACATCAATTACCGATCTTACGACTCTTTGAAACCAATTCCAGCTATTACACCGAGGAATGTCGATTCCGATCATCCATTACCAAGTTTCGACGACGAGAAAAGAACCCAAAAGAAAAACGATCGAGAAAAAATACCAGATGTACCACCGCAGCGCAGAATGGAAATATTGATTTAGAACTGTATGATGATAAATACATAGGTGAAAAAGAAGGCTCTGCGAATTTGTTTAATGAATGTTACAAGTGTGAATAGATATAACGATAAAATGTTAGAATTTCTTGTTTCCTTCTTTTATTTCTTTAATTTTTTTTAAGAAAGTAAGAATCTTTATTGCTACACGTTGAGAAATAATCAATACTTGTTGGCACAGCTGTGCAATTTAGTACATTGATTGCGCCATTACATTGAACTGTAATTGTTTGAGTGTATAATCTCCAATCTACATGACAATGCAGATATTCGACAAGTTGAACAATTTTATCTATAATAACGTTCTACATTAATATTGAATCAGAAGAACAATAAGTACTTTAATATTTTGATCATTTGCGCAGATATCTTTCATGAAGAATTTTTTTTATTTTTTGTGATGTATCTTTCATATGTGTTAAGATTGTCTTGTTTTTTAAGATTACTTGCTCTTGAATACGAAAAGTAAGACTACTAAACAAACAATGTCATAAAACAATCAATATATTTATAAAAATATTATTTAATTTTTCGTATTAATGATTTTTTTATACGTGTGTGACATAAGTGTTACCTAGCTCATTTATTTTTATACGTTACTCATATCTTGATTAGGCTACTTATCGCAAACCTCACCAATTTTATTGATGCCCCAAACCTTTATTATGTAGGAAAACCCTTCGTTCTCGTAACCCTGTAGCCTCAGTTTCGCGTATTCGTATCCACGGCCTCCGGAATCCAATGCGACAGTCGCTCTAGTTTCGTTATATCGCAACGCTTCTACGCAAGTGATACAAACAGGGCCTTGAATGATTACTTCAAACAGAGCGTCAAGGTTCGAAGGACCCCTTAATCCTAAAAGCAAATTGTGTTGATACACAATTTTTCCTTCGCACTTTCCCCATCGTAGGTTGCCTTCAGTGTTATTCTAGAAAATAAAACACATAATCCGTAATATATCATGTAATAGAATATTCTCTAAATTCTTTGGAATGGAATCTCTACTCTCATAGTAAAAAAATTTACAAGATGTCACAATAGGCTCACAAAATTGTAATGAGATTACCACTATGAGATTATCAAAAGGTCGCATTATTATCTTAATTTGTATATGTCATAACAGCATTACAGAGAGATATAATTTTTTATGACCGTTTCATAATCATGTCATGTAGTAATGTTACCTATGATAAAGCGAACATTCGCATGTCACCGTGACATTTTTTGCTGTGGAGATAAAAAGCGAAAATAGAGACAGTCTTGATAAAAAGTAGCTCATCTTTCAATCTTTAAGCGTGAAATTTCATTCTTCAAAGAGAGATTTATTTAAAAAATTTTAGAGAGTACATTTTGTACTAAGGCAATAAAAAAATACTCTCTGAATTCTTTGGGGTAAAATCTCGTCCTAAGGAATAAAGATTGAGCCAATCTTAAAAAAGAGTGGCTCAATTTTCAATCTTTAAGAGTGAGATTTCACTCTTCAGAGTGACAATTCACTCTAAAAGTTTTAAACTAAAATTGAAACGATAGAAATTCATGAGAGATGTAAAAGTGATATTTATTAATGCACCTTATCTGCTGAATTGTTAACGAAGTCCTCGTTGTTCTGTTCCGTTTCACTGATGTAATTTTGTGCCTGCTTGGATCGCGTTTTCGGCGCGAAAGTGCCATTTGAGGATAAATTCGTGCAGGGCGTGGGTGTGACCAAATAATCCAATGCGTTTCTTTCGCTATTACCACTGCTTCTCATCTGAGACAAATCCGTTTCAGATTTGAAGCCGGGTTCGATTTCAGGAACGAAGTTTCGTCGACTGTCCAGTTCCGTCGGTATTTTGTTGTATCGCGATTCGTTGCTATATATTGGATCTATCTTTGTGGATGGATGAAGAAAAGTCGCAGTGTCCCTCGTCGAATCTTTATTAGAATATATACGTCCGAGATTGAACAAGGTAACGTTGCTTGTCGGCGACACATTGTTGTACTTTCGTGGAGTCGTGCTTGTTCGATTAGCGTATCGCGCGTTTATTTCACGCTGTCGAGCGTAATATCTGTCCATGACGGCTTTTCGCTGTGCGTAATAGTCATTGTCGTTTCTTCGCGAGGAATCGTCAATAGCGAGGCTTCTTCTCGTTCTGCTTGCTGAGCTTAAAGATTCCAAATTTTTTGTATATCTATTAAGTCCGTCTAATGAAACTATTCTGTATAGCGGAACTCTCGTAAAATTTCCTTTATTTACGTTTTTTGATACTTCACTCGCATCGCCATTGTCACTATCGTTTCCTTGCGAAGAATAATCAACAGTGAGGCTTCTTCTCGTTCTGCTTGCTGAGCTTAAAGATTCCAAATTTTTTGTATATCTATTAAGTCCGTCTAATGAAACTATTCTATATAGCGGAACTCTCGTAAAATTTCCTTTATTTATGTTTTTTGATACTTCACTCGCATCGCCACTGTCACTATTGTTTCTTTGCGAAGAATAATCAACAGTGAGGCTTCTTCTCGTTCTTGCTTCACTTAAAGATTTCGAAAGATTCTTTGTGTATCTATTGAACGGATTTAATGAAACTGTTTTGTATAACGGAAGTCTGTATATTTTTTTCGTAAAATTTCCTTTATTCACGTTTTTTGATACTTCACTCGCGTCACGATTAACCATTGTACGATCGTTTGTATTTGATGAATGTAATTCCGAAAATGTAGAGTTCCTTTTGTATCTATTCGCGTGTCCTGTATTCTTTCTCATCACGAAATGTTCATATTTCTCCGGATGCACGACGTAACGCAACGATTCCTCGTCTGAGAGGAAATTGTCTTTCTCGGACATCGCTTCGTTGACAGGTTCAAAGTTAAATTTATTGTGCGCATTTCTACAATTTCCGTTAGTACAACCAGTCGATGCACTACGCGTGAGTTCATCGTCAGAATATTTATGCATCACTCTTATGATTACCGATCCAATCCTGGATTGTTGATACGGAGTTCTTGCCGTGGTCCTCTTTCGTGGTTTTCGCAGTTTTACAGATTCCGAAAATGATACACTCGCGAGAAGAACCAGCACCGCGATTGCCCATAACGTTCCATGGCGGACAATCATTTTTGTAACGTCGATATCGACGAGCGCGTTCCAAGGAAATCGGTATACTGATGGACTCGAAGACTTCTCATCATCTTTGACCCTATTTTATCTCGGATTCTCGGGGTAAGTGACCTCGACGTTTTTTTCGTCGTAACAACGATTGATTTATCAAAGCCAAGTTACTCCGTCGCTATCCTGTTCTTTGTGAGGCAATATCAAATCTATCGAATTCTGTCGATTTAATAAATAGCTTTTCTGATATGAAAAATTAATAAATGTTTGTTAATAAATTTATAATAGAGATGTTTATTTACAACAGAGCTATTGATTATTCAATATACAATATTATCGATTATTCGAGATTTTTTTAAGTCCTATGTAAAATATAGAATAGAAAAAGTATGGAAATGCAATATCGAATAATATCTTTAAATTATTCATAAATTAAATATTTTTAAATAAAAGCATTAATATATCTATGACATTAGTTTATATCATTTTATCAGAAACAGTGTATAAACGTAAATCATAGGCTTTTGTGCTATATAGTATTATATAGTACTTTTATTCCGCAAACACAAGTAATTTTTAAGCTTTGAATTGATCAATTATAGTCAATTATTCTTCTCACATTCGACTGTAAGTCCGGATCTATAATAGATGTTTTAAGTCTTAAGCCGTAAGAAACTGTCCAATTACAGTCGAATGCGAGGAGAATAATTGATTGTAATTCGTCCATTTCTTACGGCTTAAGGCTTAAAAATTTATTGTAGATCCGGGCTAATTGATCAATTTTTTAAGGTTTACATAGAGATTTTAAGATTAATGATTTATAGAAAGCTTATTATGTATCTATAGTATATGTATAATGGTCTAAGGTGCATTCCACTTGATACTCGCAATGTTTATTTCATTTTTATTGTTTATCAAATGTTAAACAAGGGGAAGTCGATGGTCCATATTGTTATATTTTTCATTCTATGCATGTGATTGCTATTTCTCATGCATACGAATACATAAGATGTGTAGATGCAAGTAGTGTGGATTGATCTTAATTGTTGAAAAAGAAAATTTAAAGAATAAATCTGGCTATAGTGTATATAAAAAAAGTACTATGGATCTGATAGATTTAGGAAAAAGTACGTCAATAGAAGCAGTATGTCAAGAAATAGAAGTGCATGAATCACGTAGATAAATATTACTTCTACATAAAAATTTGACAATATTATTACAATACAAAAGAGGATATCACAATAAATTTTGAATGTTTTTTCAATTAAAATGAAAAAGTTCCGAGATGTACAAATTACATATTATGTTATGAGTATTTAAGACTTAGGTTATGTTCAGATTTCTATTTAGAGTGCCACTAGATATTATTTTATTCTTGTTATTCGCCGAATGTTAAACAAGAGGTGTGTTTTTTTTATTCCTACTGCACTAGCAATGTTTTCTTCGCTTTCGCCAAATATTAAATATATATCCTATCTCACTTTAAGTTCCAAAAGTATATACTAATTCAGCTATAAAAAAAAACCTAAGGATAACAGACCTAAGGATAATAGGTACCTGAAGGAAGAAGAGCATTCAAGTGAGAATCTGAACATGCTCTTAAAGGGCTGTTTCAGCGAAGTCAAGTATATTGCTCATATTAGGAAAACATCAGGAACGTGAAAGAATGTTCATTTTTACTAAAAAAATAATTAAAACTTAACACACACACATTCCCTTTTTCTTATTTCTTTTATTATAAATATTAATCAGCGAAATTTTATTTGATATATTAATTATTTATTTGATATTGATATTTTTTAAATTAACAGATATATTTATATTTGATATTTTTGTCCTCAATATCAATCCTCAATATCTCTCTATTTTGCAAATAACTTTCAAGCAACTTTCAAATAACAATTTGAAATAGGGAAAAGATAAATAAAGTGAAACCTACCAAAATCTTAATTTTTATTACAAATATCGGATGCTATTCTTACGTACGAATGTAACAGTGCATTATTTTTTTCTTTTAATAAAAATTTGGTCAAAAAAAACTTTTTAACATATCTTGGATGTAGCGCAACATAACATAAATATAAAAGTAACATAAAAAAAGCAAACATTTATCGTATTAAACGATAGTACTTATTGCAATTTTTCACATATATGCTATGTTGTACACGTCAAGGAGAATTATCTCATATTGCTTCCACAGTTATGGAATCGTTATCTGTATTTTCTGGTTTTTTTGTCTCTGTATCCGGATCGACTTTCATATCTAACTTTTCGATGCCGTCATAATCGTCTTCGTCGGAAGATTGTTCTGTCGATGTTGGCGGAAGTGCCGGAGGTATTCCTGGATGAAATGGCGCCAGCACGGGATAAACCTGGAATAATACAAGTTATTATTCATTTGTGTATGTAGCATTTGTGTATATTACAGTATACAACTTGAATTTTTGACAACTTTTTGAATAAAAGTTCATTGAAATAACATAGTTACAGGATTTAATGGAATCCGGATGTCATAAATTGGTGTTTCATAATAGAAACTGTAAGCAGGAAATTGAGAAATCTCTGGTTTGCTGCTAACATGAAGAATGTTCGATGTACCGCCCGCGTTTGAATACATCTAAAAAGACGCATAATGTTACAGATGATGTCCAAGTGTTAGTTATAGAATATTTTATGTCTGTAATACATTGTAAACGTAATAGGGAGAATGCGTATCTTGATATGCGGCAAGATATTGCTGTTGTCCAATTTCAGGCGTGAAATGCAGATGATTAGTACTGACTAAAGTCGACCATAATGGTTTCGATACTGCCATTCCAACTATCACCGCGAAGACAGTTACAAACAACGATAAACCCTGCAAAAAAATTTAAAATTGAGCAGCTTCGAAATACGTTTACATAGCAATTTAGATTTTATATTTAAATAGATAGATGAAGAACACAACATTAAAATATAGAATTAGTAATGCTTCTATATTCTAATATATTTATATATTATATGTTATATATATCAATTATATTTATTATTATATATTATATATTTATTTGTAGTTTTCTTAATTAATCGGTACCGTTAGGATATAATGCGTTTGTTTATTGTTTCTCAAAAGCGTAGACGAGAAACATACGCAATAACTTCTTGAAATGAGATTTGCCCGTCGAATTTCGTGTGTTGCATGCAAATGATCCGAGCAAACAAGAAATAAAATTACTTTCCGCGAAAACTTCATGATGTCAGCGCAGTAATAAGCACGATAATAATATTCTATTAATATATCGCTATTTTGATCTATTTTTATTTTTTCATATTTGTACAGTAAGAATAAAGCAATTTTTACGATTTTATATAAGTAACAATTAATTAAATCTTTCATTTTTTGAAATAAATTAAAAATTTTAAAGCAGAAGCATGACAAATCACTGACAAATTTAACAAGTATCACTAAAAAAAAAAAAAAACAAACAGGAAAAAGTTCCGTTTCATTTTAATGTTAAATTGGCGCCATTAGAGACATATGCAAATAATCGAATAATAACAATAGCAACAGTTCCACAGTAATGAATCACCGCCAGACTCACCCGCATCTCTTGTTTTTGTAGATTGCCGATAGCCTCAGATCGTATTCGAACTAACTTGAATTTCAGCCCTACCTGCGATTTATATATTCTCGGCCTGGAGAGCAAAGCCCCACCCCGTCGAACATCATCTGCGGCTTTTTTTTTTGCTTCTACAAACGTTTACTCGTCGTGTCGTCTCCTCTCCCGATCGCTCGGGCAGCACACGCAAAATACGGCGTACTATCCTTTCTTCTTCTTCTTTCTTTTTTTTAACACGGAACTCGTAGCGCAATTCACAGCGAGAAGCGGCCTCGATATCAGTTTCAGTATCGGCTTCAAGTATGATCGAAACCAAGCATTCTTTTAACGGTTAAACTGTATCGCCGACGTTTGCTGATATCCTTGATCATAAACTTATGAACTTGTTATTATCTGGTTCTTTTAAAGATTAATATACATACGTTGCGGGAGAGATTTAAAGATATTCTCCGTTTCCGCCTTTCGATTCTCGATTTTTTCGAGGAGGAACGCTTTAAGGGATTACGATCAAGACGTTGCATTTAGAATAGAACCGGAGCTGAAAAGATTCGCTTTGCGACTATTTTATGTGCTCCTATCGGGAATTTCTATATGTGCAATCTCAAAACTCGTAAAGATAAAATTCCGAAAGAATGGATCGCGCGAGATTGTAGCGTTCAATAAAGTCCGACGTGTATTGATCGCTGTGCAACCCTAAACGTCCTCCCCGCATGATTTGCGAAGGACGACGAAGGGGAAGTTGATGTGCGCGAATAGAGTACCGCATAGCGTGAGTGTTCCATAAAGTGAGGTGAGTTTAAGCGTTGAAAAACATGGTCGCGTGAACCGGTTATGCTCTTGCGCTTAGGTCATGAATAAGAGGCGTGGTCGGACTAAGTGTCCGTCTTATACGAACGATGTTGGATTTGAATTTCTAATGTTTCGTTGATTCATGCTCGATGCAGCGTCCTTTTTATTGACCTCGTGCTACGCCGTCGATCCGACAGTTATTAGCACCGTAGCGTGAACGGAAACGTGACGTTTGAGTCGCGTGGGTGTATCGTCGCCGAACACGACGGTCACCTTGATGACAATTTGACGGCTGAAATTTAGCGACGTTATAATTCGACGTTTATACCAACCGTTGCCGCGTCGTTGATCAGATAAACATACATATAATGCTCTGCTAAATGACGTAAAGATGCAATTTCGTCGATGGGTATGGTTATCTCGATGAGAATCGCTGCTCCTGCAGAGAATCAGATGAAAGGAAAAAAATTTAGCAGTGAGGCAATCTGATGATAAATTATTGTTGATCAAACAAATGGATAATAAATATTATAAATAAATGTGTAAATTAATCTAATCGAATGTTTCTTCTTTTTTGACATACTTAAATGTGACATAAGTCTTTTCCACTATGACATATTTATGAATATTTTTTATTTGTCATGAAAAATGAAGTTTTTATCCTTGAGAACGTATTTATATTTTTTTAAAAATAAATTTGAAATACTGATAATTTTTGTAAACACTTTGAAATTGTTAACCCTCAACGATAATTCATGTGTTACGAATGTCAGATTATGACATAAATGTTTATATTGTATACTATATAAAATTTGAGATTTCAATTTTATTTTACCTGTATTTTTCACGAGTTGAAAAATGTCTGTTTTATATGAATAAAACAGTGTTATGTTTATTTTCTCAATTATTATCGAGTCAGATTAACAATATTACGAACAAGGAATCTACAAGCCGTGGCTTCGCTCCAAGAGACTATAATTTAAATAATAACTTACATACAACATTTCATATATTTCTTTTTCTTCATCTACGATAATAATAATAATAATGTTGTACTTTACTTACAGTGAAGCAAATTAAATTATTAGGAGGTTGGAATTAATTCGTAGCGTTTTTAATGAAAGAATGTTATTTATTTCACATGAGCATTAAAAAATACATTAATGAAAGTACTTCCCATCACTTGTAAAACGCTACGAATTAATTCCAACACCTAATATATTAATGCCATCAGCAGTAATTATATGTGTAATTATAGCATGTGTGTGAAGTTATCGTAAGCTTAACCAGATCCTCGCCATGGTGGAAGTTTTCTGTTGTTGATCGAATTCGAAAACTTGAGTTTCACAGGATGGACTAATCTGGCGAGAGGAGAGCGTGGACCAGTTTGAACCAGAGCGCCCTTTCGGCAATCGATAGGAGAGCCTCGTGAGAACTCGACCGTGCTCGTGGAACTTCGCACGTTCGCTAATCAATCCACAGGACTGCTCGAATTCGCGTTCATCAACAAGTGAGCTTCGTATACTTAATTATTAGACAACTTGGTTGCTCGGTTCTGTTCAACACCGGTACGCCAATCGTCGTTCAACCCGTGGAGGTCGTGTTTTTCAATTTCAGTGTTGATCATACATGATTGACTATGATGCTGTCCTCGAGAGAGAAGAAGCCTTGAAGAGCAAGTCGCATTTCCTGCTTGATTATGGCTGCTTCTTTAACGCCTCCCTTTTTGGCTCAATTCTTAATACCATTATTCGTCTCGATGTGTCTCGTGCCGGTTCGTTTTTGATAAACTCCACGAATCGTGTCGTGTTCCGTTAATAACGCATCATGTGTCGTTTCGTGCGCAATTTTAATGTCTTTATGACGGCGAAACGTGCCGCACGTGAATAAACATGCGCCAATGTGACAGCCGCACGCGAATATCGCGCCGCTGATGCTACCTCTAATTTTACGATTTTAGGTAGTAATTAAATAAATAATCCAAATCTTTTTCCAATGTGGCATCTTAATTGCATCGAAGTCATACATAGAAATTTTTTGTTAAATATCGATTTTCTGATTGAATTTAGCACAAAAATCAAGAATCTAATTGTAAGCCTGAGTTCTGCTAATCAGATTTCGTATTCGCTATTCACAGAACATTAGTAACATTATGTCAAGCGTCAATGTTATTAAATTGCTTACCAATCAGTTATGATAGTATTACTTTAGTTTCGGTTTAGAACTATATTTCAAGATTGACAAATTATCCTTACAGTTAGCTTGAACTGAAAACTGTATAAATTCACAAGAAATATTATAGAACCGCCTTGATTGAATATGGCATTTTTCGCTCGTGTGTTTAATGTCATCGGTCATCATAATGTCATCTATTTTCATTTAATTTATTACGTCATAGTTGCGTTCAGCAGAAAAAGCAGCTTCGCTACTGTTGTATAATTCCATAATATAATTGATTTATAAATTTTAAAGTTTAAATTTAATAAGGATCTAAGAATAAGACTAGTTGAAAAATCTTATAACAGTTGCAAAGCTGCTTTCTCTGTTAAATAATGTAATTTCCTATTCAACAATGTCACTGTTGTGTACGTGTGCTATATTAATTTATATGATTAATTAATATTGATGTACTGTCAGTTTGCTTTCAGTAGCTACAACTAAAAATTGCGTTGACAATGAAAATTTATGAACATCAATACTGGCTTATTTTTTATGCAATTCTCGTTATCTAAATAAGACGGTCTTTCATTGGATCTTTTCAAAATGCCGCTTGGGCATTTAAAAAAATTTTATCAAGCAAATCTGCCTTAAGTAATTCACGTAGATTTTAGAAAATTCTAATATTTCCTCAACGTCATACAAAGTAATACGTAACTAGATAAAATTTTGCAACATGTTCACCTGCTCGCCGTAACTCATTTCCACGTCTTTCGCATTCTAGCAGAACCGATGACGTTTTGGAAGACTATAGTAAAGTCGCGGAAGTATTTTTCGTTTTGGCAAACCAAACGCGATGATGATCTTTGATGGCACTCGTTAAATAAACAGCAATTATTTTCTTGAGATTTTGCGCTAAATCCTCACACTGTAAAAGACACGGAGAGAGAGATCTCAAAGTCTCAGATGTTTCGCGCTCTGCCAGTTTCTCTATTTTGAAAATTATTTGATTTCGAAAATGCTCATTTATTTTCCAAGAATCAAGTCTGACATAAAAATATTAATAAATCTATATGCAAATATATAGAACGAATCCTATCCATTGCAAAGAATACAGGCATCTTCTATCCTCGTTTAATAAATCGTGTTACTTTGGTAGGGTGTTATTCTAGAATAGAAAGAGGTAAAAGGAAGGAGTTCACACTTTCTTTCGTCGAGACTTCGGCGATGCATCGCCGGCGCATCGGTCGATGACGTGCTGGAGGACGCGAGGGTGTTATCGCCGGGATAAGAGAAAGGGGGCGCGATTTTCGGGAAGCGGCCGTCGCTAAAAATAAACGCGCCCTGCGTGTGTGCGCGCGCTGTCTGCATTTAAACATAGTTTTGGCAGACAGAAACGTCAAATCGCCGTGGAGTGGCGAAGCGTGAGGATCGCTTCGCGAATTTCGCGCAGAGAGATCCGCGTTCTCGCCAAGATCTTGCATCTAGCCGGTGGCGTCGCGAAGAACAATTCTCTCACAACAGATATCTGTCATATCACTCCGGAACAAAATTTTATTCCCGAGAGCCCTTTCTTAAACCAGTCGTAACTTATCGAAATTCGGCTTTTGACAAAAGATGGATTGGTAAATAGATGGAGGGAGAATCATGAAAGGTACGTCGGTGGAGTACAACAAGGAGAATCGACGGCCGATGGCGACAATGCAACCAGTCGACGAGAATACGGCTGACGTCCAGCAGGAAGAGTAAAGAGTTTAGAAGACAGAATCGTATTTCTGTGTGTATATGTGTGTACGTGCGTGCTCGCCATCTCCGTCGCGATTTCCGGTGTCGACGATCGTATGTACGGTCGCGTAAGCTCTGTATGCGGTATTTACTTCGATATGCTTTTCTGATGATTGCTATATTTATATAGCGAGGCAAAGGACTTAAAATTTTTTTCTTTCTGATATCAGCAGTAGAAATAGATCTGTTTTATGAAAAACTTTAATTACACCCCGATAACACACGGATAGCTTTATTTATTATAATTATAAATCATTACGCTTCCTTAATAGTGGTTTGAATATCTTAAGAGACTTTAAAATACATTTCGCAAATAATATC